GACATCATTAAAAACAAAAAAAGTAGGTCGACTGCAAGTCTGCAATTTATACCTCCTAGCACCAAAGAGCACACTCATCCTCATCTTCCAAAACATCAGCATCTGCACTAATCACACCACAACACAGTTTCTGTCCAACTATAAGCACAACACTCTTCACAAAAGCCTTGCTAACACCAATGTCAACCCCACTAACGCCTTTAATTCTCTCAAAAGAAGCCATAGTAGTGCAGGATATCGTCGTCTCCTACACGCGCACCACTAAAGGGTTCGTCACTGGAGAAGTTGCTGACTTCTAGGGTTTGTGAGAGGCGCAGAAAACATGAGAGAGCAATTTTTGTGGAAAGATTAGGTTTCAAACGTTGGCGACAGAGTGGTCGATTGGAATTTCATTGTCAGCTCTCGCAAACCCTGCTTCATTTCCTCCTTGCTCGAATTTGACTAAAGAAATAGGGGAATAATCTTTAAAAATTTGGTCACCCAACAACGACCGATAATCGACTTACAGAACTCGAGAAAGTAGTATTTGTCAAGAGGTCGTCGATTGTGTACAAGTTTTTTGCAAGGGCTTTGAACTTCTAATATGTAAACAACTTGTTAGCTTTCTCTTCAAAAGGTTTCAGTAAATTTCGATAAGCTCGTTTATTTTGACCATTCAATTAAAAAATGTCATCACTGGCATCTGAAAATTCTGCCTAGCAACAAGCTTGCTCTTATTGAGACAACCAAAAGAAACCATATGTATTTTCTTAAACTTGAATTAAGAAAAAAAAGGAAAAAAAAATTATACCTATGTGCCAGACCAAATGCAAGTTCTTCACCTTCTCATACTTGTTCATAGCCTAATAAACCACAAGCAAAAAGAAACCATACATCAGATATGCCATAACATCAAATTACTATTTCAAGTTCTACACACACAGAGACAAACGCAACTCAGACATTTTACACGCACAAACAAAGCGTACGCATACATCGCGAAGAGTGTCCTCGGTGGTGAGATGATAGAGGCGGCCGACGAAAATAGTGCAGTAAGGGTCCCCAATGACTTTCGGGTCACCATACGGGTTTTCTGCGAAAAAATGAAAGTAGGATATTCAATGAAAAGAGGCAATAAACCCTAATTCGCAACAAATTATTCAGGGATGAGAGAAGAAAGTAGGAGCAACAGTTACATAGAGCGGCGTTGGAGCAGAGAAGGGCTATGTAGACGGCGTTGTCGTGGGGAAGGATGTCGGTGCTGTCGATGCTTCCGGCTTGAATCGGGTGGTACTCCTCAGCGTAGAACACCGAAAATGGAGGAGGAAAAGATTTGGTGCGGCGCTTTGATTTGGAGAAGAATGAGAGCAGGTAAGGGAGTTGACTGAGAGATCTGATTGTTGCCTGTGAATTGTGATGTGAATTGTGTAAAACACAATCTCAGATTTTGTGGGAGAAAATCATGTCCTATGGCAAATCCGCACCAAATTTTGGGGACTCTCTCTCTCTCTATGGCAAAGCTGTAAATACAGAATAAAAGGAAGGACATTTTTGTCCCAAAAAGACATGTGTCAAGCCCACAATTTGTCCTCATTCTCTTCTTATATGTATAGTAGAGATATTTGAGGCAAATGTTTAATGTAACAAAAGTTTAATTAATCCACAATATATTATGTTATTATAAATCTTTAAGTTTAATACGTCGATTAACCGAAACAAAAATTGATTGAAATAAATTATATTATTTAATATAAATTTATAAATGATATTTAATATTATATATCACGCTTTGATTAAAAAATAATATATTATGCAAACGAAATATATTGTGTAATCTAACAATTATTAAGGTGCAATTCGTCCAACACTATGGTGCACGTTGACTGCCTGTATTGTGCAATAGGTTGAACCAACCGAACATGTTGTCTCGATTCGAGTTGAAAATTAACATAATAAACATATTTATTCGGCTCGATTAAATTATCTTAAACAATTGAAATAATTTGTTTTTTCTTCTTTTTTATACTAAATTTTTTTAATATGTTAGTAATTTTTTTATTATTTTTATATAGTTCGTGGTTGAAATTTTTTGAGTTCGGTCGGTTTCGATCTATAGTGTGTTACCTGATAATTATGATAAAGTGCAACATGTTGTTGTGTAAAGTGCAACGTATTATTTTATAAAGTGCAACATGTCGATCTATAAAATGCATTAATGAGTTTTTATAACTATAAAATTAATAAAAATAATAATTGAACTGAAATATAAAATATCGAACCAAAAATTATAGTTGGTTATTTTTAATATTGTGCAATCATATAGTCATTAACGTGCAATTCATAAAATTATAATGTGCATTTGCAATACATAAAAATATATAAATCATAATAATAATATTTTTGATATAGCTCGACTCTTTCATATTTTTTTATCTAAATAATCAAAATATATACATTTTAAAATTATAGAAATAACTTTATTTTAGTTGAATTATCGAAGTTAAAATAACTTAAAATTAAAAAATAATTGAAATATATAAGAAAAAAACATAAAAAAATATATTCATTTCAATTTCAATCACTAATGTGCAGTCTGACACATATTAATGTGCAATATGTCTAACACTAATGTGCGATGTGTCATTGATAATGTGCGGCCTGGCACATTTTTATTATTAGTCTTGTGTTATTTAATATTTAATATTATTTTATTTGTATTTATTATAAAAAATTGTTAATTAATTATTTTATTTATTATTCTGTATTGTTTTATAATATTTTAGTAACTTTATATTATTTTCATTATTATTTTTATATATCTGTATAAACAAATATATGAACAATAATGGAGTATATATTTATTAAGTTTTTACAAATTACAGATTTAGCCCAAATACTAAATTGAAATATAATTAAGTTTGTTAAAATTGCACATACATCCCACCAAGTCATCAAATTTTAAATCATCAACCTCGTCATTTTCTGCAGATTCTGTTCACGTTGGTTCAGTCAACGACAAGTGCATCTTCTGCTATACTCGACCTCGACTGCAATTCCGGATAGAAGGATCTTCGAGGACGCCGACGTGTGCCATGTTGGCCGCCAAGTGCAGGGACCTGTGAGGTCACTCACGTAGGGCTTGCCGGCGAGCTTTGGCCTCTAGTCGACCGCGAAGGCGTCGTTCATGGTAGCTCTCTGTTTGTCCTATTTTTGTTGCATTTTTCGTGTTTATTTTATCTTTCTTTTCCCCCCGTTTTAGGTCTTTTCTTTAGTTTTTAGTCCGTTTCGTGTTTTATTATGTGTTTTCCTTCATTTTGAGTCATTAGGTGTTTTTTGTTTGTTTTTCCGGTTTTCTTTTGTGTTTTGTCGTTTTTGGTGTGTAGGTCGAAAGATTCGGGCGAATTTTCTCTTCAGGAAAAGTTGGTTTCGAGAGCATAACTGGATAGAGGGGTTCGTTAGCGACGCATAGGAAAAAACGGAACTCAATTCCGAGTTCGGACGAGCTCAAACGAGGCGAAAACGCAAAATGGCGCAGTGCAGCCCAGAATCTCGCGAGTCGCGAGCACAAAGTCGCGAGTCGCGAGTTCAAGTCGCGACTCGGGAGAGAAAAGTCACGACTCGCGACTTTAACAGAGCCTACCAGCGGCCCCGACCCGTCTGACTCGCGACTCGCGAGTCAACTCGCGAGTCGCGACCCTGTCGACCCCTGTTTTTATTTTTGCTCGTTTTTACTCGTTTTAGCTCCGTTTTTCGCGCACTATATATCGAAACGAACCTCCAGACCTAAGGAACAACCCCCAATATCGTTCCTTTGAAGTTTTGTCTCCAAAAACTCAATAATGTTAGGATAATTTTCTCCACTTTTCTTTTTATTTTCTCATGCTTGGATTATTGGACACAAAGACATTTGGATTGTAATCTTGCAAGTCTTAATCCGATTGTAAGTTTTTAAATTCTATTGTTTATTGGTTTTATGTTTTTAATTCCAGTTAACATGAGATTGAATCTAAGCATGAGGTAATCCATTCACCTAGGGTTAGGGATTTTGATTCTTGTTTGAATTATGTGGAATATGTTTTGTTCAATCTATGCGAGTTGTGTGAATTATAGGGTTAGTTGATTGATCACCATTCTAACCTAGTTAATCAACGTGTA